ATTATATTGGTGTAATATGTTAAGTTACGTCTGCAGACAGTAACAACTCAAACCTTAAAACTCACTTGTACTATTCGATTTTTTTATCGGAACATTTTTATCRTAATTTTATTCTCAGTTCTCTCTTTTATTCTGTTCAATGTATTATTACTGATTTGGAAGATGGCAGTGTGCACAGACGCAGAGGTTTTGCTCTCCCTGAAGTGGATTATTGGAAGAACTGAGAGGTYCTTAGTAACTTGCACTTCCAGACTGTAAACAAGCTCTTATCCAAGTACCATTAGAGAACTTAAAGTGCAATAATATCAAGCTCTGTATGTTCAATGTTTTTGTTGTAATACTCTGTTTATTTTTATTTTTGCCTGTTTTTTATATTTATGTATTAGACTGTAATGTCTTTATTTGTCTAAATATTATTTTCTGTACCACTGGGACACTTAATTTCTTTGTACACTTATCTATGATTTCATGCCAAAATGGCTGCTAAGAAAAAACTCTATGGTCATTTTGTTTTTCTATGGGCAGGACCATGACCACGATGGGCGGTTGTCATTTGACGACTTTGAGAAGTCAGTGAGAGAAGAGAATCTGTTACTTGAAGCTTTTGGAAACTGCCTCCCTGACACCGAGGTAAGAAGGAATTAAAGGATGATGGGAAATGTATTAACTTAGAAATGTTTAAATCAGAAGTTCTTAATCTTACTTCCTGTTTTTCTTCATTTCCAGAGTATTGAGACATTTGAACAGAATGTATTTCAGAAGAAGTGAAACCATGAAGAAATCATATTCATGTTGGATTTTCAGATGTATATTTAATAATACAAACGTATATTGCTGTTTACATTGAGATAAAAAATGTTTAAATAAAACAAGTTGCCACAAGAAATCGAGCTGGTGATTTCAAATCCGACGACGTGGTTTCATCTTTTTCTCCACTGGTTTGACAACAGGAACTGATTCCACCTGAGAAAGATGACAGGGATTTTAACTGGTCTGAATCAGGAAATCTAGACTACGTTGATGGAATATTGTCATTTTGATCAGTTCAGATTATAGGTTACCTGTTTCATTGTGTTCCTGATGAGGCTGACTGTTTTGTTCAGCGATTCATCCTCCATGTTTAGTTTAGGTGGTTCAGGTAGCTTTGGACCAATCAAAGGCTCATTTTTCCCAGAAACAGCTGTCTGTGTTTGGCTTGCTTGTATTTTGCGTTTCCTGTTCTCCAGGTTTGTAGTCCTCGGGACAAATCTGACTGCAGGAGCCTGATCTGGAGTCAGTCTGAGTTCTGTGTCTCTGTCTGAAGAGGTTTGACTGAAACTTAAATCCTGCGCTGGCTCCTGTCTCGTGTCAATTATGGCATTGTGTAATGTTCCCATTTTATCTTCTGTTGGTACAGTCCCATGTTGATTTTTATGTCCATAATAATGGCATTCCTGGGGAGGTAATGGCAGTAAGGGAAAGCCTGAATAATGGCTTAAGTTTAAATTCTCTCCTGTATTATCATTGTCAGGCCTTCGATCGTGTCTGGAGATGATCTTCTCTGATGTGGTGGCTGTGTTTGATGTTGTGGGCTCCTCCTTTCCTGCCTCCTTCTGTTCCTTTTCTCTCACTTTAAAATTATAGGGAAAAAAAGGCAAATATTATACTGAGGGTTCAATTCAAATTGGTAATTCCAGCTATATTACAACAATAAAATACAAATAAAGAGCAATTTTTCCTCTGTTATATGAAATGATAGAGCTGGAACATTTGAAATGTCCCAATGTTTT